AAAGGAAACAAAGCAATCCACTAAGCATCGAGACCTTCTCGACGTTTCTGCACATCAAAATAAATCATCATAGAATAAAAAGAAAACTCACAAATTGGGAAAAAGGTTTAGCCAGTTGTTCCTCAGGCAAAGGTCTTCTGCATAGAACTTACACAGAATTTTAAAAACCATGCCCACAAAATTCAAAGACTCAATCAAAAAAGCCACTTGAGATGAATACACACTTTTCAGAGGAAAAGGTACAAATGAAAAATAAATATATGAAAAAGTGTTCATATATTGATGAATATATGGTTCAGAACCATTATGACAACTGGTCATTCGAGAAATACAAATTAAAACAGCACTGAGATTCCATCTCACCCCAGAAAGAATGGCTATCATTAAGAAAGGAATCAATAACAAGTACTGGAGGGGCTGTGGGGAAAAGGAACCCTTCTCTACTGTTGGTGGCAGTGTAGGCTGGTACAACCACTGTGGATATCAGCTTGGAGATTCCTCAAAAATCTAGGATTAGAAGTTCCACTCAACCTAGCTATTCCCCTCCTGAGTACTTTTTCAGAACTGAAAACATCATATCGTAGGGATATATGTACACCAGTGTGTATAGCAGCATGATTTATTGTGAAAAAAAAGCATGAAGCAACCCAAATGCCCATCAACTGAGGAATGGATAAAAAGAATGTGATATTTTTATACAATGGAGAATTACTACACTTAAAAAAAGATGAAGTGTAGGCTTTTACAGGTAAATGTGTGCAACTAGAGACCATACTGGTAAGTGAAACAAATCAGACCCGCATGTGTAAACATCGTGTTGTCTCCCTAGTGTGAGAACCTGAAAGAGTAAATAAAATCTGAAAAGTACAATAGACATTGTGCAAAGGAAAGCAATTGTTCAAAGGGAAATAACAAGTGGGATGCGGGAAAGGAGAAAAGAAAGAAGGAAGGAAGGAAGGAAGGAAGGAAGGAAGGAAGGAAGGAAGGAAGGAAGGAAGGAAGGGAAAAGGTTGTGTACATATGTACGCAGGATAGCTTTGATAGTTGTACTGCTGATTCTGCTGGCTTAATGAAAGGAGCAGTTAATGCTTGGATACTTCTCTCCCCTTTCTAATATTTTATAATTTTTTGATGAATTTTTTCATGCTTATATTTGGTGACCTTAACAACTAATTTGAAGATGACAGTATTTAATATAACAACCATTGTTGGATTCCTAAAAAAGAGAAAGAAAGATTAAAGCTTCATCTCCTTAGAGAATAATGAAATTGATGAAATTGCAAAAGCAGCTGCTGAAGGAACATCCAGGGACTAAAGCCTCATACCTGCAGAGCTGGAACTTTTCTTTTTTAATGTATTCTGTGTGTGGTCTCACTATGCAGCTACGACCTGTAGTGATCTTCCTGTTTTCAGTTTCCCCAGCACTGGAATTACAGGCGTGCGCCGCCACAGCTGGTCTCAATGGCCAGCTCAGTGGGCCCCAGAGGGGGTGGGAGGTGAGGGGAAGTATTGGAAAACTAGAACTTCTATTAGACATTTCTCCTGACACTGTGATGACAATCAAAAATCAATTTCCTACCTATGCAAAGGAAGAGGGTGACTGGGGAGAACAAGAGCAAACTACTAAGAGACCCAGCCCCTGGTGGTTACTCCTGGATGGACGAACTGTTATCACACACAACTGACCTATGCTTGGGTTAAAAAAAAAAACCCACAGGGCAAGTAACATCTCATGTCTGGTCAGCAGCTGCTCCACTGTCTGTCAGTGATGCCAAACCTATGCTCCAAATAATCTGCTTCAGAGGCATAAGCCCCTTAAGGGATCTAAGTGACTAGAGCATCACTTTTAGAGATGTACAAAGATACTTCACAGAAGCCAAGCCAAGCATCTTGTGCTCCTAGTCTATTCTTCCTCTGTGTGTCTGTGTGGGTAGAAACTTTTCCCACCTGAACAGAAAAATCTCCTCAGGTCATTTGAACCCTTCTTCCAGATCTGGACTCCCTCTGTTTATAGGAAGTGATAACAGCCCAGTCTCTGCAGCAGAAATGATTCAAAACCTTGCTAAACTGCTCCAGATAAAATAAAATCTGCATGCTGCATGTCTGCCTCAGAGCTCTGGAAGGCTGAACAACAAAGCAGACGAAGACAACCACAACCAAGTATTTCCATGATAGCAAAGCCCGTGGGCTGGCCTCCCTAAGGCGCCTTCTTCCTGTTAAGTGCTCACCTGGGCCCTCATTTCATTGTTAAGGTCTTATTTTCTCCTTTTTATTATAGGCTGTGTTATTTTTCCACAGGTGGTTCTTTTTTTTTTTTTTATTCAGCACTAACAAGTAACATTCCCAGAAGAAGCTTCAGAACGTAGCCTCCTAATTAGCAGCAACTCGTGAAAGAATTTCTGAAAAGACAAGATGGTAGGATATGCTGTTGACACAGAAGAGAAATAAAGCAGGATTCTGAACAATAATCTACTTAGGATAAATTTTAAGATAAAGTTAGGAGCCCAAAAGCTTCAAGCAATATTGAACCTAGTATTTGTCTAGTGTAGGGACATATGTGAACATTTTAAAATTGTGAGCACTGTGTTTCTTTTTCTGTTGGGTAACTTACCCGACTGACAAAAATTGGCATTCTTTTGTGTTTATAAATAAGGAGACTTTGGACAGACTCCAGGATTACTGGTCTATAATATACAACATATGATCTGCTTTTATACATTGTCCCAAGGTTTATAATCCTGGATAATAAAATCTAAATGGATATCCCTAACTTCTGAAGATATACACTGGTTCCTAAATTTTTATAATGAAAAAATTTAAATATATAGAAAGTTGAATTATTTATTATGAGTATCTGCATATCTACTACATATAGTCTGTCTCTGACATTTTACATTTTCTTTCTTTTCTTTTTCTTTCTTTTTTTTTGTACTTTAGGGAAGGGTCTACAGGGTGTTTAGGGTCTCACTGCTAGACTGAACTTGTAGTGATTCTCCTGTTTACAACCTTCCAAGTGCTGGGATTACAGGTGCATGCCACCACGTCCAATCTCAGTTGCTATTTCAGAGCACCCTCAGGGCTCTGAGCCTGCTTGCAGGCACTTTAATCCACTGAGCTATTTGGCCGACCCTACATTTTCTTAATTTTTTTTTAATGTGTGTGTGTGTGTGTGTGTGTGTGTGTGTGTGTGT